ATATATATATATATATATATATATATATATATATATATATATATATATATATATATATATATATATATATATATATATATATATATATATATATATATATATATATATATATATATATATATATATATATATATATATATATATATATATATATATATATATATATATATATATATATATATAATTCAAATATTTTTATATATTGAAAGAATTTATAGGCCTCGATATATTATCTCTTTTAAAAAATATATTTTATTTTTAATATATTTTGGGAACAAATGTGCGTACCATACTAGTATCCGTGTGAACGCGCTGATATTCTACTAATTAAATTTTAATGGAAACATGAATTTACTGATTAAAATATTAAATATTAACGGGAACATTTAGTTATTGATCAAAATATTGAATATTAACGGGAACATGAAGTTATTCATCAAAATATTGAATATTAATGAGAACATGAAGTTATTGATCAAAATATTAAATATTAACGTGATCATGATGTTAGTGATCAAAATATTGAATATTAACAGAAACATGAAGTTACTGATAAAAATATTGAATATTAACGGGAACATGAAGTTAGTGATAAAAATATTGAATATTAATGGGAATATAAAGTTATTGATTAAAATATTTAATATTAATGGGAGCATGAAGTTACTGATCAAAATATTGAATATTAACGGGAATATGAAGTTGCTGATCAAAATATTAGATATTAACGGGAATATGAAGTTACTGATCAAAATATTGAATATTAGCGAGAACATAAAGTTACTGATCAAAATATTGAATATTAACGAGAACATGAAGTTATTGATCAAAATATTGAATATTAATGGAAATATTAAGTTATTGATCAAATGATTGAATATTAACGGGAAATAAACTGATCAAATTATTGAATATTAACGAGAAATAAACTGATCAAAATATTAAATATTAATAGAGCAACTTTACTATTGTTTTAAATATTTTTTACAATAATTTCAAAACAAAAATGATATTTATATAAAAATATTATATTATTCATTCAAATATTTTTATATATTGGAAGAATTATAGGCACCAACTTATTATCTTTTTTTAAATTTTCTTATTTTTTATTTATTATATTTTGAGAATAATTATGCGTACCATACCAATACCCGTACGAAGACACGAGTATCTCACTAATTCTAATTTAAATAAACAAAGCAAGCAATAATTGAAATGAGAAAGATCTTGGAACAAATATAAGAAATAATATAAGAAATAATGATTTTGGAAAAACAAATAAAGTGAGCTCTTACAAAACCATGGGACTGATTGTATGTAAACAATTTTTAATTTTCTTATATGATAGATAAAAACTCTATTTTAACGTAATCAATTTTATATTGGATATTTTTATCAATATTTTTCATTTACAATATTAATATATAATTTTATATTCTATTATAATTTATGTAGTAAAACGAGATAAAATAAAAGTATAAATTACTAAATTGATTAAAAATTTTGTTTATATTAAATTTATATTCTGAAATTTTAAAGATAGTATTAATTTGTTAAAAAAACTATCTATTAAATTATGTTTTGGAGTTTTTTTATTATAAAATGAATACAAAAAGTTAATTGTCAACATAAAATTATTTAATTATTTTAAATTGAATGAAAAATATTATAAGATAAAGTGGAGGGAGTAGGTTCCTCAAATGAAATAAGTATAGGAAACGTGATATATATTTAGGCAAACGCTTAAAAATGAATGGTTCTAATACCAATAAAATATGAATAGGCAACGGTATTTTGTGTGGCCAGAACATCAACATTTATTTGGATTGCTTAAGCGTCGCCTAAAATATAAAAGATTACGGTTATTTTGTTAGAAAGTAAAAAGTGTACTGCATATGGAAATTATAAGCCGCACATTGAAAAGAGTTGCCTATTTCTATTTTTAACCGCAATTTTTTAGATGTGGCCATGTTAAGTGTTTCTACTGGAAAAAAAATTATATGCAAGTTTAGAATATTTGTAATTATTGTTTTTGACAATAGAATTTAATTCTTCAGTGCTACAGTGCTATAGTCACAGTCAATGACTTTTGTCGAGAATTTGAAATTCAAACAAAGTTTGTATATGTTGTTTACCTCAATTCAATGGACAAGTTGAATCAGCGAACACGTTAATTTTGAAGGGGCTTAAGAAGAAACTTGACGATGTTAAAGGCTTATGGACAGAACTTCTTCATGAAATGTTATGGTCATACCATACCATACACACTCTACTACCAAGAAAACTTCATTCACCATGGTATATGGAGTAGACGTTATGTTACCCATAAACATTGACATGACCTCATGATGACGCTCATAATTTAACTAAGAAGTAAACAAGGCGAGATTGTAATTGTTGCATATTTGGTCAATGAGTTAAGAAAAGTCGCCCACATCCAAGAAGTTTTTGCCAAGCATAAAGCTACTGAAGGTGCACCTTCAAAGTCATGCTAAAGGAAATGCGAGAAGGAGATATGGTATTAAAACAAGTGGTTTTACCTACAAAGCAGGGAAAATACAACCTAACTTGGAGGAACCATATCGCATATTCCAGAAGCTCCCTCGTAGGGCATACAAGCTTCAAAAATTAGACTGACGACTACTATCCAGAACTTGAAACGATCTTCGTCTTAGATATTATTACAGTTATATTATTGTAATTCCTTAGAAGATACAATCATCTACCTATGCACCCTAGACTTCTCGGAAAATATCCTTGTCGTCTCTTAAGACAATATTATGTATATTAAACTTCCTTGGGAGGATCCTTGCCACATCTTAAGGTAATATGATATACGCTAGACTTCTTAAGGAAGATCTTTGTTGCCTCTCGAGACAATATTATGTATGTTGGACTTCTTTGGGAAGGTCTTTGCTGCCTCTTAAGGTAATATGATGTATGTTGAATTTCCTTGGGAAGATATTTACTGCATATTAATGCAATATTATGTATGCTGAACTTCCCGAGAAATATCCTATATGCCTCTTAAGGTAAAATTATGTCTAACTGACTTCTTAGGGAAGGTTCTTGCCGCCTCTTAAGGTAGTATGATTTACGTCGAACTTACATTAAAATATCTTTGCCGCCTATTAAGGCGGTTTGATGTATGCTTCATTGGGAAGATCATTGTTGCCTATCATTGCAATATGATGGATACTGGACTTTCACAAAAAGATATTTGTCGTCTTACAAGGCGATGCAAATAAGTTAAACGAACTCCCTGCCTAAGAGACTTGGATTTTACTTGAGCAGAATCCAACATATGAATCTCTCCCAAGAGGCGCAACTGAAGTCCATCCTGGGAGACTTAACTTAAAAGTCTTATCTGAGGGCTTGATAGAAGTTCCGCCTAATAGGCCTAATGTCTTTCCTGATGGACTCAAAGTCTCATCAGCCAGACTCAATATAACTTTGCCTAAGGGACTAAGAGCTCCCATCAAACATGCTATCTAAACTCTTCGCCTGAGGGATTTGGAGTTTTTATGGGCGGGATCTAACATATAAATCTCGCCCAAAAGGCACGAATGAAGTCCAGGCTAAGAGACTCAACTTAAAAGTCTTATCCAAGGGCCTGATAGAAATTTTGTCTGAGATGTTCAATACCTCGCCTAATAGACATAGAGTCTTATCATACATGTTTAATATAACTCCACTTGAGGCGCTAAGAGTTTCCATCAAACAATCTATTTAAACTCTCAGTCAAAGGGACTTGGAGTTTTCTCAAGCGAGATCCAACATATAAATCTTGCCCAAGAGACGTGACCGAAGTCTAACCTAAGAGACTTACCTAAAGTCTTGTTTGAGGGCTTGATAGAAGTCTCACCCGAGAGGTTCAATGCCTCGCTTTAGAGACTAAGTGTTCCCACCAAACATGTTATATAACTCCTCGCTTGAAGGACTCCAGGCCTAGTTAGTCTGGTTCAACACGCCATATCACAGGGAAACTTAGGGCATCAGGATACCCCAATATTTTATAGTTTAAAAGTATTTCGCCCTCTATCATAACCTTTGTACTTAAGGGGTTATGTAGCGATATATTTCTAAAAGGCCTTGTAAATGTGGGAGAGTTGTAGCTCTCAAGAGGGGCGACGACCATGTGTCGCCTTCCAATAGAAGTTATCTCACAGTAAGTGCCTATCACTTGCACAGTTATGGGAAACATGTGAAAATACATTTCTTGTTCAGAGAGAAGTCAGCCAATAGCTGATCCACATGCTCCTAGATAGTATGGATTCAATGATCTACCATTGGTTGAGTGGGCGATTATCATTCCCAAGGAAACCCTAGGCCCAAAGATCTTTATAAATACCTATTCCTAACGAGAGAGGGCTAAATAATTACACCCTAAGCATAACGCTTATACACATAGTCTTTCACCTCATGTGAGCTGACCCTATCATACCACCGTAAACACTATAACATCACCAAACATAGCCTCTCGCAGCCGCAGATAAGTCCTAACCACTATCATTTTCTAAGACCTCTACCCGCATAAAAATACTCCATACACATATTTTTTGACAAGTAGAAATACATTATTAATTGAGTTAAATAAGTATAAACAACTTGTCTAAAGTTAAATCCAAAAATATTTATTTATATTTGTATATGATAAACAAATTATTTATATTTATAAATCAACCATTAAAAAGTGTTTTTGGAAATTTATATTTATAAATCAACCATTAAAAAAAGTTTTTGGAAAAAAATGAAATATTATTAAAACTCAAATAAAAAAAACTATATTTTAAAATAATATATAAAATAAAACATGTGACCTAATATTTAAAAAAAAAAAGGTGAGTTTTTTTTCTTTCTCTCTTCTCTGTCCTGCTTCATTCTAATGGCCGCTGCTGCAAACTAGGGCTAACACAACAAAACCACTTCCAAAGTCAACAATCCAGTACGAAACAACACCAACACTTCAAAACTCAACTCACGAAACACCATTCACGATGAGAACGAAAACCGTTGGTGGCAAAAAGCGTTGCCTCACACTCTCTGCAACTTCTCCATTCTCCTCCATAACTCCAGTACTATTTCTCAAACCCTAACCCTAACCCTAACCCTAAACGACTCGTCGTTTTCACTAACCCTAATTTTCATCTCTATCTCTTTTCAGGATAGCGACGATGAAGATCCAAATCCACATCTCCGAAAAGACATAATCTCGAATCGCTGGGTAATTTTCTCGCAAGACAGAACGAAGAAACCGTGCGAATTCAAGGGAAAATCAACGTTCAACACAAACCCTAGCAGAAACAAGCCGTGCATTTTTTGCATTGGTTATGAGGATGAATGTACGCCTGAGATCTTTCGTGTTCCGTTTGATGAACTCAATTGGAAGATTCGTGTTGTGGAACATCCTTATCCGGCACTTTCGAGGTATGTTCCGGAGCTTCATAGTGTTCCGCCGGAAGATACGGTTTTGGATGGATTTGGGATACATGATGTTGTTGTTGAGAGTCCGGTTCATTCTGATCAGCTCGTGGAGTTGTCTCCGAGGGAGATTGGAGAGGTTTTTGTTGCTTTTATTAATAGGGTTCATGAATTGCTTCACCTTGGGTCTATCAAATACATTCAGGTTTGTTTTTATGGGTTTTTATTTTCTTGGATTTAATTGAATGTTGTACATTTTAAGGTTAAGAATAGTTGTAGTGATGGTAGACGTTGACATGTGTTAGACTCCAAACACGATTTTCCGAGGTTGTTTTGCACTTGATAGATAAATCCTTATTAGGTTGGTTTAGTAGAAGCATGTTGGATATGCAAGTAGGAAACTTGTGTGGAGGGATATACCTTAGGAACAATATCTGCTAATATTGTTTTATGCACCTCAGACAAGGTTGACTCTTGTAGGAGGATATATATGACTTTTGTAAGGAAATGCATTTGATATGTAATGTATTCTTGTCTGATGATTTTGCATTTTCAAAGGATAATGTTATGTTTTTATATGTTTGTTTTGAATTTTAATTGTATTTTTAGTGAAAAATGAAGGGATCTTTATGGTTATTATCGCATAAAGTTGTTATTTTAATGAGTATTGAGATTTGCTGCACATGTGGTCCTACCCAACTTGTTGATTGTGATACCCCTTAATACCAAAAGGTAATGTGAGAGTGGTGGGAATGTGATCTTTTTTTCTAGTTGGTGATATTAGTCTTCATTCACTCGATACACATTGTGGTTGGCTTAGTGCAACCATGCTAGGTTTTAAGTGGGAAGAGTGTGTGTCGTTTGTAGGAGGATATATGTAGGAAGAATGTGTAATGTGTGCGTAATCACTTTGCATTTTGAAGGCTAATGTGATCATTTTTAAGTGATGTTCTTTTAGGCTTTGTTTGGGAGTTTGGAGGGGAAGGTGTGGAGGACTTTGAAAATTAGGAAGGATTGGGTGAAAAGAGTAGGAAGATTTGGGTTGGGAGGGTTTTGAAGGGTTTGTATTTCTTCATAACACCAAAAACCCCCCAAAACCCCCCTAATTTGAGGGAACTCAAAATTTGTATTGAAGGAGGGTTTTGGAGGGCTTACATAAATTTTCCAAATATCTTTTATGTTATGATATTCTGAAAATTAAAAATACAGTAATAATTAACACTATTTTATAGTTCTATACAAAATCATTTTATCAAAAAATGTCAAATATTTTCCTATATTTTTTAAAAAATTCGTTTTCGGAGCCTTCCCCTCCTCTCCAAACTCTCAAACAAAGCCTTAGAGAATAGGTAATGTGGAAGTTTTTTTTTTCTTCTTCCTAGTTGGGGACATTAGTTCACTTGGTATGCAATGAGGTGGCTTAATGAAACTATTCTAGGTCTGCTACTAGCAGTAATGTGTGTACCCTTGTTACTGCCTTGAATTGGATTAACTTTGGTATGGAGATATATGTGGATATAACTACAAGCAATGCACATGGTGGTAATGTCTGTGTGGCCATTTTGCATTGCAAAGGTTGATTTTATGTAGTAATAGGTGATGTGAGAAAGTGTAGTGTTTTTTTTTCTTTTCTAGTTGGTGACGAGTCCTTATGTAATCTACAATGAGGTTGGTTTAGTGGAGGCATGCTACTGCAAGTAGGAAGGTTGTGTAAAGGTATATTCCTAATTGGGAGTGAGGTATTTAGTTTGATTCGTTGTGAAAAATATCCTTTAGGGTGATGTCAATCCTTGTTGCTCTGCCCATCTAGAACAAGATTAATTTTTGTAGGAGGATAAATGTGGATATAAGTGGAAGAATGCACCTGATGCGTAGTGTTTGTGTTATCATTTTGCATTTCGAAGGCTAATGTGATAGTTAAAGTAAGCCTTCAGTATAAGTGTGGTTATATATATCCATCACTGAAAGAAGAAATGATCACGGTAGTTCTTAGAATAGGTATTTGTAGTCACATTCGCCTTTTGGACTTTTTTAAATTCCTGGTTTGAGATTAAAATTCACATTGATCTCTTGCTGATTTGTGATTGAAATAATAAATTGTGTAGTAAAACTATCCTGTTAAGCTTTAAAACAAATGGATTGCGTAGTTTCCCTCATTGTTGCAAATAGTGGTGCTATAGCTCAACGAATTTTGATGAATCAGCTTAGAGAACTGCGACACTATCCTTGTTTCGATTTTAGGATATAATAGGGGCAGTTTTTCCAGTTTTTGCTAGCTGAAGAAGTAATGGCAATAGTGGGGAAAAAAAGAGAGTTTTGGGGTTTTCTTAAATAATAAACGGAAGAATGTTATTGAGTGCCAAATGGAACCTATTATTAAATTGGAGAAATTGAGGAGTCAATGAGTATTACTTATATATTCCTTGTAATATGTAAACCTCTCAATATGTGAGCTACGCTCTGCTGCCATTCCTTTTTATTTTATTTGTATGCTGTGTGCCTTTTTATGTATATATAGTTGACTTATTTCAACTGCTATGTAGCTTCTGCTATTTGCCCGCAACACTATCTGCTGCCTCACATAGCAAAATTTCGGTGTTCCTCTATTTTATACAATTCGCTAGTGATAACATTGATTTCACTCTTTATTCCTTGTTCTACATGTTATTTTTCTTCAAAGGTTATGTGAGCTTGAATCTTTTTTGTTGCTTCATGGGTTGTGTTCGTATGGTGTTTGACATTTTCAATATGAAAGTAGGAGGTCACTATCTTCTTCCTTGTCCTGTTTTATCATTTTTTAAATCTCATATTCATTTTTTTTTTAATCTCATATTCATTTTTTTTAAAGTTATGGTTGAAATTTCTGATCTAATGATGTACACCTTCTCTGTATCATTTATTAGTGTGTTAATAGTTGGTCAATCTGGGATTCTCTGTATTCATTTTTTTAAATCTCATATTTTCAATGTAAGGTATTCTCTTAGATGAAATTCAGAGTAGTTTGTCAATCTTGGAATAATTTGGCATTTAGATATATATTCTATTTGCAGTGTGCAGTAGTGAGCTATGATGTCTAATATAGGCATATATAGTTGTTATTTTACTTTGGGTAAGGAGAGCAACCGGGCAATTAAGCAGTGTTGATTGCATGCTCCACATAACTGACTAGATCTATTTACTTTTCCAGTTTAAATTATTATTTTCTACAATAACATTAATACTTGCAGTTAACCTTGTCTTGCATTGTTCTTGATAAATATACTATTACAGTTGTCTTCTTCCTGGCACAAGTTTCATGTAATTTGTCATGTATAATAAACTTGATTTATTAACCTTTGAAGGTGTTTAAAAACCACGGGGCTTCAGCTGGCGCATCAATGAGTCACTCTCATAGTCAAATCCTGGCCTTGCCAATTATTCCAACCACTGTTTCTGCCCGCATTTCAAATATGAAGGATTATTTTTATCAGACAGGGAAATGCTGTATATGTGATATTCAGTGCGAGGATCTTTTGATTGATTCGTCTACCTATTTCTTTTCATTGGTTCCTTTTGCTGCTTCATATCCTTTTGAGATATGGATTATTCCCCGGAATCACTCTGCACATTTCCATGAATTGGATGCTGAAATGGTATCACTTCATTCTTTGCAAAGCCCTATTTATGTTTAAATGTAAAATATGTAACAAACTTGTTACTCATAGCTTGAGCTATAGCTAAAGTTGTGGATTTTGCAATGCTATTGGTTTAGCTTATAGCTAAATCTTTCTTGTATTGCTCAACGTGCAATATTGCACACTGTTTCCAACTATATATACCTGTGTTAATTTCTTCAATTTGGGTTTTATGGTCAGATGGTTGACCATTATATATTGACATTTATTTTGCAGGCATTTGATCTTGGAGGTTTAATGAGACAAACTCTTAGAAAGATATCTTTTCAATTGAACAATCCGCCATTCAACTTCATGGTTCATACTAGTCCACTGCATGGTGATGGGTCAGAGTTGGCATACAGTCATTGGTTTATACAGATAGTACCTCAGCTAGTTCCGACAACTGGTGTTGAGCTTGGAACTGGGTGTCACGTCAATCCTGTTTTGCCCGAGGATGCTGCAAAGGTTCTAAGGGAAGTGATTGTTCCTGTGTTTGCACATGAAAGGTACAAAATATACTCGGTGACTTAAATTCAAACTGGAATGCTAATAATATTGTTCCTCCGTTCTTTTAACGTAATAATTTATTGTTAATGTATCCTGTGTGATACGTAAGTGAAAAGGATTGGAATTGAATCTTATTATAGTAGGTTTAGAGTTTTTAAATGATTGAATTTGCTATATTTTTTGTTCAGCTGTGTTGTGCACATGGCTTTGAGATGGTAAAATTAAGAGAAAATATAGTTAAAATAGGGAACTTGAATGTTTAAACGATTATGTTTGATTCAATTTATATATTGTTCAGTTCTTTATGATTCATGCTGTATTTTTGAAGGCGTACCATAGGTTTTTTACCTCCAAGTAAGATCGTGGATTATAGCGAGGCATTCACCACTAAAGAGGTAACGAATTATGAATTATTGTTATGTTATGATTTTCTATTCCTATTAAATAAACACCAAATTTATAATTTTTTTAAACTCTTAGGTGTTTCCTACCCGAGAATATCTTCTGAATTGGGCTCGAGCCATTGGGAGAGAGAACGGATTTACTGTCATTATTCAGAGGTCAGACAATGGTGGCACAGGGAAGAAGAAGATAGGAAGGAAAACAACTGTGATATTGGGCTGCGAAAGAAGTGGAAAATATAGACAATATAAAGATGCATTAGCTCGCAAGACTGGAACGAAGAAATGTGGATGTCCATTCAGACTGCGAGGAAGACCTGTTAGAAACGGCGATGGATGGAAAGTGAATGTAGTGTGTGGATTTCACAACCATGAAGTAATTGAAACAGCGATCGGGAGCACATATGCAGGTCGATTAAGCGGAGAAGAGAAGTCTCTGGTCGATGATTTGACGAAGAATATGGTAAAACCAAAAGACATATTGCAGACATTGAAAGAAAGAAATGAAGAGAATCTGACTTCTATCAAGCAGATTTATAATGTGCGCCAACAGTTAAAACGTTCTAGATTTATAGAAAGTTAGTGTTAATTGAGTGTACTGCATTTAACATTTGTATTACTCTATTTTTTCATCAGGTACTTTCTATTATTGTTATTGTTATTATTGCTGTTGTCATTATAACTAGTAGTAATTATCTCAGTATTTCAACTATTAAAGTGATAGTGCTAAAAGAGTACTTTAAAAATGGAATAAGTGCTTTATTAGATCTTGTATTGTTATTGCCCAATTGTTAGAGAACATTTGGTATGTTAGAGGGGCTAAAAATATTTTAACTTGTCTGAGAATCTATTAATAATACATAATATGTAATTGAATTGATATCTGAAAATATTAATATAAAAAATGTTATTAAATCGATAATTCTCTTTTATTACATGATGAACAAAGTTTAGAATTACTTGTCTGAATTGGTCATCAAACACACATTGGGATCTTCTATTTTTTAATTATCCAAAGCTATCAAGATAAATTTCTTCTGTTTGGAAGTCTTATTTGCATATTTTTTATCAGAAGAAATTCAAATTTGTATTCTCCAAACTTGTTACCTTCACATTTTTGTAGCACGTGAATTCCTCTCTGTCAACTTTTGATTTAGAAGCTTGAGTCAAGACCCAAAATTACCTAAACATACATTGTCCTCCTAACTGAGGTACCCTTCATATCTGCTACATACAAACTATAAATTTTTATAGGACAAGATTCAAATGCCTTATTGCCTGCATTTTGCCTTATGCCTACTTAGCCAAGCCCTCACAAAATTCTTTAAAATAACGCAACTCTTTATGAATTTGTCGCATCAAGCTTGTCCCCGTGGCAACATTGTGTTTCTCATTGGTGATGAACATTCTTAGAGTCCGTCTGGATGTTTACTTTCATACTCCCTCGATTCTGAATCATCTTTATGTCTTCCAAAACTCCACACAACTTTGTGTTAATGATGATGCAATTTTCTGGCGACTTGACAAATCCTCTTATTCATCACCCTCTAATGTCCCTTAAAACTCCACCACGGTTTGCAATTTTATTTTGATACAATGTTCCATCAATGTTAGGGGTTAGCCAATCTTCAACTGGTGGTTTCCAATTGATGGTGATTTTGGATTTAGTCTTCGAGGAAACTTTGTTCATCAACTTCTTGCTGATTGAATATTGGTGAACTCGATCCTTAATGACTCAAACCATGTTGTCAAGCATGATGAATTCATCAACAAATAGTCTTTAATTTCCTAGAGCCATATGGCATGACATTGTGGTCGCCTAGGTTGCTTGCCATTTCATCTTTATGTCTAATGATATTTCTTTGCATATTTAGCCTTAGTCATTCTTGCACATTTAAATTAAAGAAAGTCTCCCAATGTGAGAAGTGCACTAATGCTAACCAGATATGCTTCATACACTTGTAGTCCATTAATGCGTGTATCGGGGTCTCCTCCATGCCAACACAATCTACACATTTAGGACCATTGATATGCCTTTGAGCTATGACTTGTTTTGTTTTCAATCCATTGTGATGAACCAACAATACAAACATTCTAATTCTTTCAGGGACCTTGATTCTCCTTATGTTCCTACATTCCTTACCTAACTCTTTGGCCATTGAATTCAAAATTGTAGCATAAGCAGTTGAGGTCATGAAAGCTCAATTGTTGGTACATCCCCAAAGACACACATCTTCTCCAATGTCCTTTCTGGGTGGATAAGTAGTAGCAATTATGTCCAGTATTTCCTGATTAAAACATTCTTTCAACTTGTTCCAGTCCCAATCACCATTTTTATTAATTAGAGTTGCCATTTTGTAGCTCTACTGTTCAATCAGATTATTTTGGTGGTGATCCTTTAGGATAATTCTTGCAGCTACCCAAAAATCTTTTAAAACATCAATGATATCACCATACTACAACCATATTTCTCAGTAGAGGCCATGTTGTGATCATATTCTTCCACAAGCTAGAGTCATATGTCTTGGCCTCTCCCATACCAGTTGTTGCATTTGTTCTTCCATATTTGCCTCTTAGCACCTTGCACCAAAGATAATTATCCCCCTTACTAACCTTCCAACTTAGTTTTTCTAAACAAGCTTTATTCATAGTTAACTTCCTCAGGTCTAACACTCCTTCCATTATTGGTTTAACAATTTCATCCCATTTCAATGCGTTAGTTCTATCATTATGAATTTTAGTGTATCTTTTAACGTCCCATATTGCTTTCAGGATTATCAATTGAGTCCACAAATCAATATAAGTCTTTTCAACTTGCTTTGTCCTTACTCACACGCTTTCCTTAAAAAATTTCAGAAGGTCACCCATCCAAATACTTCTCCAAGTCAAACACGCTTAACTATGAAGTTTTTATTTGTTAGGCTACCAAAAAGAATATGCATCTTATTGGTAAATGTAGTACTAATCAATCCTTATAAGTTTTCCTTCAATCATGCCGTCACATATCTGCACAACCTCAAGGTCCCTCTCATTTCAATGTGAATTCGGTTTTTATCTAAAATTTGTCAGGAGTCGCTCATTGTCATGCCTCGTGCACCGACAACCACTCCGCTTTCTCGTTGGCCTTGGGTGTCACATGTCCATCAGCTTTCGCTTGGTTTGTTCCTGAGCCACATCGTACTGAGAGAGGTCTGCTCTAATACAATTTGTAACGCCCCAAACTGCTTTCAGAATTACCGACTGATCCCACAAACTAACATGGGTCTTTTCAGCATGCTTTGTCCTCCTCACTCACACACTTTTTGGGAAACTTCCCAGAAGATCACTCATCTAAATACTACTCCAAGTCAAGCACACTTAACTATGGAGTTCTTATTTGTTAGGCTGTCAAAGAAAAAGTGTATCTTATTGATATAGGTAGTATCCGTCAATCCTTATAAGCTTTTCTTCAACCATGCAATCTCATTCATGTACAACCTCAGAATCCCTCTCATTCTGATGTAAATTCAGTTTTTGCCTAGAAGCTGCCAAGAGCCGCTCATTATCATGCCTCATGCACCGATAACTACTCTCCGTCCTTGTTGGCCTCGGGTGTTTCACATTGTCATACCCCAAATTTGCCCTACCCTTATATTATAGTTAGGGTTCCTTTTTAAATAAATTATCTTATATATTTTTATTTCTATGGGGGTGTTTAAAATTAAAGAGGGGTGTATTGATCTAAAATGGACCATCAATATCTGATGGCCCATTAGGCATTAATAAGAGTCCATTTCAAATAGAGAAAAGGGAGGAACATTGTTTGTATTTTAAGATAATGGTCCTTTTGAAAATCAAAAGGGCCCATATGGAATTCTTTTAGCCCATTTTAAAAGAAGGGGGGTGTATAGAGAATTTAGTTTTGCTTGTTGTTAAGGCCCAATAATAAATAGAGAGTATAGCCCATTCACGTTTTTTCTTATATGGTGCATAAAAAGTTTTTTGGCCCAAATTATTGTATGATTAAGAGTCAATTTCCGAATTTTGAGTTTGTGTTAATTATTATTGTTAATCATTTTAATACTTAATTAAGAATTTTGTCTGTTTTAACTAATGAAGTTAGGTTGGAAAATAAAAGGCCTTTACTGAATACTAGGCCCGATCTCTTTTCAGGCCCTTGTCCAAAACAAAAAAACGGTTGGCCCAAAAAAACATCAAACAAACATATATTGTGCAAATTAAAAAAAACCGCACGCTTCATGTTAAACAGCTTCAATTCAAATCTACACTAAATCAAATATACATAAACAAGATCAAGTATAAATAGAAACTTTCCAACAACAAAAACAATAACGAATCTCATTTTTAAAACAGAAACATATTTTGTATTAATCAACCAAAATAATATAATTACAACAGAATCAAATCAGTCCTAATATACAACAAAATCATATCAATTTCTAACCTAATTTGTAATCAAATCCTATTATAATCAATCCATAAAATCTCTAAATTATAGATTCTAACGAAAATCAAATCATAATTTCCTAAACTATCTAATTCTAAAAGCTATAAAAAGGATAAATCTAAACAAAAAAGGGGGAGGAGAAAAGACAAACAGAAACACGAAAAATTATAGAGAGAAGGGTGAAACTAGACAGAAGGAAGAATGACAGTAGAGAAGAGGAACGAAGCCTCACTGCTATCATCGTCTAGGATTTCAACATCTGGAACCCTAAACCCCAGTTGTTGTGCCATTGTCTCCATTGCGCCGCTACGACCTCCTTCGTCACACCAACGCGTCCTCAATCGCCGCCGTTCCAGTACCACGTTGTTATCTACAAAAATCAGAAGAGGAAAGAGTAGGCAGAGAGAGATCAGAACGAAGAGAAAAAATGCAACGAGGTAGTCGTCGATTGTCTTTTATTTTTCTGTAATATAATTCTGTTATGTGATTTGGGGTTGGGTGTAGTGGAATCAGAGGGAGAGAAGAGAGCTGCCTGGATAATTTCTTTTGGGGCTAGGGTTTTGTTTTTGTTAGAGAAGAGAAGAGGTGATATGGGTGAAGAGAGAGAGAGAGAGAGAAATTAATAAACAGAAAATGAAATATATGTTGTAAAATGAAAATATAATGTTTAATGATCCAGTACACATGCATCTTAACGCTACCATGCTCTCCTCAATCTCATCCCTACGATCATCATCGTACGTCCCTCATATGCATGTCCATCGTAGCTTCCACACACACCCATACGGTCCAACCAGACTCTTCCTTAATCCATCTTGGGCCAGGCTCAATCATTACGCGCACCCTCCCTCTTTATTTTTTGCTAGCACTTGTGATTTCGTACCCCCTCCTGGTCAAATGGGCCAAGTCCAATATTCTGGACTTGGACCCATACTTAAAGCACCCCCAGTATTACTGCTTAGTTCTAAAACACCCCCCTTATCTTTTGGGCCTGAATTCAATATCTGTATTCAGGCCCCATCTATTAACACCCTATCATTTTACTACAATATAAAGCACACACCCTCATGTTTTGTTTTATTTTCTTTATTATTTTAAGTGTATTTTTTTATATATTTCTTTTTAATATTTTTAAT